TAAAGCATCATGTTGTTCTCGCAGATTTACAGGTTCACCCCAGAGTCTAGAATAAGAGAGATTTTTCTTTAATAAAATCAGATTTGGGGCAAGTAACATTGCATGGAAATAAATTTAATTGTTTACCCAACTTTACAAGTTTAAAAGATGCATGTTACAGGTACACAATGATCTTCAAATTATATACTGATTCATTTTCAAGGAGGACTAAATTACTGTCACCACCCAAATCAACCTGTTCATTTATGAGATAATGTGATCCTTAAAATAATTAAGGATATAGGACTTAGAGTGGTGACCCTTGACTTCATCCTTTTTTTTTCTTCCTAGAATGCTTCAAGAAAAATGCCAGTGTGTCCATGCTAGGTGTCAAAGGGTAATGTTTCTAGACATATTTCAGGAACAGGAGATGGATATTCTGAGAACTCCATTCCTGTTTCTATAGCTACCTATTTTAAAATATTTTAAAAGAGGAAAATTAAAAGATTTTTCCATTAAAAAAACAAAAGAATAAAACCTTCCTTATCTGACATTCTAAGTTTTTCCCTTTATAGTAAATCTGAAGTGAAAAACAATAAATATGTTGTTAAATTGTATATACAAAGGTACAAACTTAAGATCCTGTCCCTTTTCCAATAATGAACAGAATTTTCACTGTTTGCCTGGACATGAGAATCTGAGGTCACATAGGAACGAATAGAGGTAGTTATGGCTAAGTTATCCTCTTTGTTAAGCCTCTAAAGAATGATCAATTAAAAATGGTGGTGTCATTAACTATAATGCCTGACACAAATATGCTCATTGCTTATTTGGTATCCTTAAAAGGCTGTATCTAGTGAGATAATTATGTTCAAATAGGTAAAGTGACGTCTCATCTGGATTACTACAGTGTAGTAAATGATGCTGGTTATTCTGCACATTTAACACCGCTATTCTGTGACCTGCATTGTTTCCGGGTACAATTCAAGGTGCTGGTTATCCCCTTTAAAGTTCTTCATGGCTTAGGCCCAGGTTACTTTAGGGACCATCTCTCACCAGTTGTTTCTGCTCATCCGATCCTGTCAGGATGGGCATGCCTCAAATCCAATTGGCCAAAAAATGCCAATTGACAGAGCCTAAAAGACATGCCTTTTCTGTTATTAGTGCCCAACTTGTAGAACATTCTCCCTCTGTGGACTAGAATCGCCCCAACCCTGCTGGCCTTTTGTAAATCGCTAAAGATTTGATTATATCCCTAGGCAGGGATCTGTTTCTTTGTTGTGTTAGTGATTTGGTTTGTTGTTTCTTGTATTTTGAATTTTTATAATGTTTGTTATTATTTCTATTCTATTTTATTCCTGTTTGCCACCATGAGTCATTCATTTAGATGGGCAGCCATATAAATTGGATCAACAAATAAATAAAAATACAGCTCAGATATCTTTTATCCTTGAACATAAGATTGAATCTTTTCGAGAGAACTATAATTGAAAATAATACCTGTGATATTTCAAACAGTAGTTTTTAAGTAAATCAATTATTATTGGTTTGATTTATATTGCTCTCATTTTTATTTATCTTTATTTGAAACTTATTTTCTTTATTATATATTCGACAAGACTATAAAACTATAAAACAAAAGCCTGGATTAAATGGGAACATTGTGTTCCCAGTATTCTAAATTCAATCTTGTAATACTTATTTTTGTGCTTTCCATTAAACTTATAGGCAGAAACTTTATTTCCCACTCAAGGATCTTCATACCATGATGGAGCCATTTTGTTGTATCAACAATCTACACCAAGATTTTCTCTGAACTACCCAGTAACTTGTTTTACTTTGAGAAATTTTAGCTTGCTTTCTACATATGTTAGAAGGTTCACATAAAGCTATTATCAATTTAGAAATATAATTAAATTCTCTTAATGATTTATCAAGTGCATGCTGCTTGTAACATATCATAGAAGACATTTCAACAAACATTAATTTCTCATTTACCTGAACTGTTTCCAAAATCCTCTCGGCACATAGTATTGTAATCTAGAAGCTGCTAAGTGGCCAAATATGACCTGGAGATGTCTTAATACACCTATGTTGTACTCTTTTCTGTCTTCTGTTTTACTTAAAGTTGGTTTATCTTCATATGGATGGGGATAGCCAAATACTTCATCTCGTGGGTCAACATTGCTCTTAAAAAAGAATCATATATGTATACATGAAGACAACTGCAAAGTAGAGTTTGGTAGCTGGACTTATAATGAACTACCCTTTTGTCACAGGATGATGGAGCTGATGCTCAAGGGACAACTGTCACTCTTGAAGAGAAGGGAATGCCAAAACAATTTTTGCATTCCTTGCAGAGGTGCTTGCTTGTCAATTACATGAATGGACTTCAGATAAATTTGTCAATGCCAATGGTGTTCAAGTGGTGCGCCAATTGTTTTGATATTGCACCCAAGGCACCTATTACTATTGATACTACTTTGTTTTTTTGCCACAGTTGTTCTATTCCACCATCACCATTATCATTTCCACCCATTTTTTAAATACATATTTGGTCAATTCAGGGTGGGGAATATAACTAATACTCTTGTCTCCTATTTTCCCCACAACAATAATCATGTGAAGTGGGTTGGGCTGAGCGACTGTGACTGGCCCAAAGTCACCCAGCTGGATTTTCATATCTAAGGGAAACCTAGAACTCACAATTTCCTGGTTTCTAAATCAGCACCTATACAAAGCTGCTGATCTGCGTTTGTTTACCAATTATATATTAGCCATAAACATTTTAAAAATGATAATTTTTAAAACATAGATCAAACTTCCCTTCCTTCTTTATAAGGAATTTTCTCCCCTTTCTTTGGAAGGACTTATCACCCGGTGATCAGAAAGAGTCATCATTAATCTAACCATACACGTCTATCCACTATTTTGGGTAGACAAATCAATACAGCTGAGATTACACAAATATATAACCATAGTATTCCTCCAAAAAGCAGACTACAGCTTTGTGACAGCACTTTTTGAAACGCTGTGTAATCTAATGGTGTAACTGATGAGTCCATCTGTTTATCTTGAATGGGCTAATGAATTTTGAATGAATGAAAGGTAGACATGATATAAGTGTTAATCAGTGAAATCCCTACTCCTAGTACTATTCTTTACCAAGTTAATATTGATTATTTTAGGCCAGAGTTCAAAGTGATGCATTCTCTTTATCCAAGGGATAATGTGGTACCTATTTGACATAGCTCCTAGGTTGTACCATGATAATGGGTTGCTCATAAGGGCATTAACCCTTCATCAATTAAATAACCTGAGATGAATACATTCTGTGCCTCTTATATATAACCAAGTATAGTTTTTCTGCAACATTAAAAATACTAATTCAGAATGAATGCATGCATGTAGAAAATTATTTGCCCTATTAAATTTCTCATCTATTTAAGACAACAAATGCATTCCAGCTTCAAGTTGACAACTGAGACGCCAAAATAAAGTGGCATAATCCTATTGTTTTATGGCTATCTTGTTTTTTGTCCTATAAGTATAGCTTATATGGCTAATGCAAACATATTACGTTATTGAAAACAGCCTGATCCCATGAGTAATTATTAATGTTTTATATACAGATGAATAAAATTTATTTGACAACCATCGTTGGGGGTGGATGGGTGAATAGACATTGTGGACATAATGACAATGCAATCTCTTTCTTGTAAGTCTATTCATATATGTTCAGAAAAGAAATATTGCAATTTAAGTGTACTATATTCAACATGTGTACATTATGGACATCTTTGGATTCTATGCTTATGTACATAGCATGTGCCATATTGGATGTATAAGGCATATTCCTAACTTTGTATGTCTTATCAAGTTGATGCACTGAAATAATTTATTCACTCCTATCTTGTTTCAATATAATAAGTAATTCAAAATTCTGTTACTTGAAAGAGAAATGTTATTTTTTAATCCAACAAAGTTAGCACTTTACTGAAATCACCCCATGTAACAGCTCTACTATAATTTGCAAATAGGCAATGTATTCTTTTTTGCAGACAATAATAACCTCAGACAGAATGACAGATCAGAATACAATGAGAAGTACTGAGCTTCAGACTCATTCGCTAAAGTATTATTTGCCAAAATATTGATCCTTGAAATCAAGATCAAACAGTTGACTGACTTGAAAGGTAAATATAGTTTGCCATAAACGGTAATTAAACTTCTTCTCCTTTCAAGCAAAAATGTGGGAGGGGGATGACAAGGGTTCATAGCACATCACTGTACAGTCTCTTATGTCTTGTTATATTTTTCCATGACCAAAATCATGCTCCTTCATCACTCCAGTATCTTTCCCTTTTTATCTTTTTTAATAATCAGATTTATATCCATAAATATGTTGTGTCCATACTGTATTGAATGCCATTCAATAAGTTACATCATATTTTGAAACATTAACATAGCTTACAGTTCAGGAAATGCTTGCTCAAAGACAGTATCAGAAAATTATAAGTATCATTCAAGATGTCAAATTTAAAAAGCCACTGTTTGTAAAGAGAGAACATTGAAAGTATTTTAAAGAGCAGACAAATTGTTTGAGCATAATGAATTATAAGAAGAGTTTAAAAAGATAGGCCACATTTAATGTATTTGAGAAAGCGAGAAAACATCATCAAACTTGTGTAACATAGGATATTGTGTTTAAAATTGCTGATATTACTAAGAACTAACATAAAAGCATAGAATGCATTTTTTTAATTGTTGGTAGTTAAAAACGTATTGCGAAGCATATATATATATATATATTTATATATATATATATATATTCAGAATAAAAGCCCTTAATAGTCAGACTTAAAGAACAAAGGAAGCACAGTTGGATACAGTATCATATATTAAGCAAACCGCAGTATTACCTCATCTTGTTTCTCATCTCCAGACATGTCATCATCTACATCACTGCCTGTTCCATCAATTGCAAGAATTCCATTCCTGATGGCAGGAATCATATATAATTGCTGAATGACAGAATTCATGTAACAAGTGGCTCCAGCATTTTTAAGCCCTACAAATCCCTTTGGTGGTCGTGGTCCAACAGGTGGCAGATATTCCCATTCTGTGAGTGCTTCACACGCTAGGACAAATTAAACATATTAGACCATTAACAGCTTATAACTCAAAATATACTAGTAGGCTAATTGCTAGCGCTCAAAACTATATTCATAAAATAAGTTTATTTCAAATACAATTCCATTTTACATTTGCATTTTACATGAAAATGTGTAAATTAGGAATTATATTCCTCAGCATCTTATTTCCTAAGTACAAATAGACAAAATAAAATCTATAGTCAAACGAAGCACAAAACTATATAGTAAGCCCCAGAGGTGGGTTCTACTTACCTTTACTACCGGTTTACAGCGGGGCTGTGCGCACGTGTTGTTCACGCGCTCTTCTGCGCATGCGCAGAAGCATTTTGATGATGTTGGGGTTGGTGGGCAGAGCCTCCCGCCGGTTTTACTACCGATTCTATAGAACCGGTGTGAACCGGGGACAACCCACCACTGGTAAGCCCTCTTTAAATAATTTATCTGCAAGTTATTTTAAGATGATTTAAGATGACTTGAAAAATTGCTAATTTGTAAAACAATACATTTTAGTTTGCCAAAACTGAATAAAGACTTGGGACAGGATCCCAAAATTAATGTTTCTAGGTTCCTCAAGCACAGGGAACTAATAATACTTTGATGTTTCCTTTTCCAACTGCAATTATTCAAGTCACTGCAACCAGTCACTGAAAGCCTTCGAAGAAGCTCTAATGTAACAGTTTAGAACTGAAGCCTCTAAGAATACAGTACCTTCCAGTCCTAACCAGATTTAATCTCTATTACTTTTAGGAAGTATGATTATACTACCTAGCAATCATCTCGGAAAAAAAGGTTAGTTCTGGATTTAAGCAAGAAACAGCATATTTTCTTTCTCATTCAACACTAACAATCTTCTGTATAATTTTTTAAAATGCTCAAAGACTACAATCCAGAGAAATGGGCCTAATATTCTGCTAACCCAACATTTTCCCCAAATAAATTATGAAAATATATAAAAGTATATGAAGTTGTCCACATTAAAATTCATAGAAAAATGTTAAAATATGAAACAATACGTACTAGTTATTGCAGTGCCTATATAGTACATTTCAGTCAAAGTATCTACTATTTGTTTGAGGTTACGGACACAGCCCACTGCTAAGGCTACTAACAGCTCAAATCCAGCATTAATGGTAGCTGGGGAACTACAGACTGGTATTGCCTGCTCAGCGGGTAATTCTCCATTTCTCATGTATTGCAAGTAAACATTTGATGCGGGAAAGATGAAATCATCTATTAATTCCTGAAAAATAGTAAATAAAATATATGTTATTAATTTAGGAACTATCCAGATCAAAAGTAACATCACTTAATGTCACACTGTCTTAGATTTTTAGAAGAGAGGATTACTTACCTGCAAGAAAGCAAGAAAACCTAAATTCCATAACTCCATTATGTAACCATAATGAATCATTCAGAAGACTGTAGATTATTTTAAAATTTATATGAAAAATGCCAGGGGGTTGTTAATAAACAGTTTATCAAACCTATTTAGCCACAGCTGAGAGGCCAGATAATAACAACAGTTACTTGAATATTTGCCCTAATTTTCAAAGAGCAAGGATTTACATGCCCTTAATTTGATCACAGATTTCTTGCCCCATTCATATTTCAGTTAGGATTCTAGCATGCTTAAGATGAAATGAGTTTTTTTTGTATAGTGCATTATGTTACATTTACTCCAGTTACATAAAGGACTCTTTATTCAATGACTTACCTTATTTAGAACTTTATAAAAATTGAGAAAGGATAAGTTTTTCCCTTCCTTCTCTCAACAGAAATTTTGCTGTGATTTAAATATAGATCTACATATTTTGAAAATTCCAACATTTAATCAATTTAAATTATGTTTTTTGTAAATATTAACATTCATTATAATTTGTATATTTTTCACTTTGCTACTTTATAATTTTAGAATATTTTGTACAGCAGTAACTTACTTTGATAAGATTAGCACCACCTTTTTCACAACCAATGTGGTATTTTTTTTCAGGAGTTTGGAATGCCAACAATTCTTTGGTAACTCCAAGATGACCTTCTAGAATAGTTTCCTCTACACCTGTTTCTCCTGTCCTTTTCACTTCATCCTAGGGAAGGAGAATACTCAGACATATGAATTTTCAAACAATATTTTTAGGGAAGCACATATCAGTTAATTTACTATAATTATTCCACTTTTTATTTTACATATTTGGATCCAAGGCAATTAACACTTAAATTTAAAACAAATTACAAGTGGTGACAAAATAGCAGGAAAACAACTTACCCTGATCCTTTTAAGCCAGTCAATTTCATTATTAAGCAGAACTTCAGCATTGGGCACATTAATATTACTATTGTAAGCATAATTTAGAAGATGTCTTAACAGAGTAAAGTAATCTCCTGAATGTTTAGCACGTTCTCGTGCAGTACTCTGAAAGAAAATATCAACATAGTTGAACATATACTTTCATTAATAGTCATAACACAGAATATTTCTTAAAGTCTATGTTCAGTTCAGACCTCCTGATAAGCAAGATTCCATTAAATAAACCTGCTCTCAAAAGTGTACACATACATAACACACATAGACACATGCTATATCATGAAAGTTTGCACTGTTAGAAATATTATAGATTTTCCTCTACTACCACATACTTTCTATCATATTCTAGATAGTTTTCAAATGTATCCTAACTCTTTGGAAATATTCTTTAGCATGTGATGCAGGAATATCTTGGTACATGAAAAAAATGTAGTTGTATAATTTCTGGATGTGACCTAAAGTTCCAATTCAAAGCACATTTCATGCTCTTACAAATATCTTGATTTATTGCTTTAAATAATGGAAGTAGTTTCTTTTGACTGTGCAATCCACCAGAGTTCAGTAAAACCATTATTTGGAAAACAGCCCACATGTATTCAACAAGCTTCTTTACCAGTACTTATTAGTAAAATAACCACTGGTAAAATTACCATTGTTAATAAATCATACTTCTAGGCTACTCTATTTTGCTTAGGTCAGATGACCCCTGCAATATTAAGTCACGTTATCATATTTTTTGAAGCCCGTTGACACTCTGCAGCATGTCCAGAAAAGAGCAACCAAGATCGAAAGTCGTCTGGCGGGAAATATGTACAAGTAGTTCTTGCTTAATGACTGCCTTAGTTAGCAATTGTACAACAGTGATGAAAAAGTAACTCTATGATCAAATCTTTTGCATATGTGTAAAGGAAAGCTGAAGATCATAAGCAGAGTAAGTTTCACTTAGCAATCACTTCTCTTAATGACCAAGTTGCTGATCCCAATTTAGTCACTAAATGAGGACTATCTGTAGGAGTTTGAAGTCCTTCAATATGTTTAATCTAGACAAAAGTGGGAGCACATAAAAATTGTTGTTTTGTCAATTTTTGTCAATTATCATGTAGAAAGTAGAGCCAAATTGTTTAGAGTTCTACAAAACAGAACAAGAAAAAAATGGATTTTAATTAAATGAAGATTTCAGCTGGACATGAGGAAATTGTTCTAATTCAGTGGTGGAACAAACTATTTCAGGAGGTAAACATCTGATAGGGATGTTGTAGTAGATTCCTGCACTAGATAGGATGTGGGAGTATTGTAACTCCAAGGTCTCACCAACCTTTATATCTTATGATTCCTTGAGTCCTAGCTATCAGTAGCAATATATGAAATATGGTGGAGTGTAGTAACATTTGGAGTACAAGAAATGCTCTGCTCTACTATATGCTGTAGACAAAGCTTGCTCAAGAAAGCAAAATTAAATTTAAATAAAAAACAACAACAATGCAAAAGATGGCAGTCTGTAATTACTTGAAAAACTGTTAATTTTAGAAAAGCTTTTTCTATGATTTATGTGAATCAGTTCTGAAAATCACAGCCTCAGCTTTTAATACAAATGAATATAATGAAGCAGTCAAAATGCTCACTAGTAATAATACAGTAATTTTAGGATTTTATTTTCAAGTTGCATTTTATGTTCTACTTATTTTATACTAATATTACATCTTTAAACAATATCCTAATTAAAATATTTGAACAAGTATGTTAACATCAACATATTGAAGCTAGTGAAATCGACAAATTTCTAATATAACGAAAATTTGAATCTTCTTCAAACAGAAGTTTAATATTAAAGAGAAAAAGACTGAAGAGCTGCTCTAAGTAAAACTGTACCAGCATCACAGCAAATTACCCATAGATGTCTAATATATAATCATAATACAAGTTGCATGGAAGAACTGTCCATTTACAGGTTTATCATACAGTGTACATCTTCAGAAGATAGCAATTTACAAGGCAGAATGGCAGAAAATCTACCTTTTTTGAATAAAGCCTTTTCATGTATTGATTTGTTAATGTATATTGAGAAAAAATATGGAAGTATGGTAACAAAAATTAAATATGTATTATTTCCTATGATATTGGAATTATATCCAAATGATAAAGTTTAAAATGTCTTACCCCTAACACAGTAAATAAGAGAGTTATAAAAAAAAGAAGAGGTCGTTGTCCCATACAACATCGGGTAGCCATTAAGAAGAACTGCTCCTGTGCCATTTGCCGAACAGTTCTAAAAATTTCAACCAGAAAAAAGAGAGATTAATATACGTATTTTAAATAAATAATCTTAAAATTATATAAAGGATAATACACTATTACTTTCTCTTTTTTGTCCCTGGTGCAATCCATTATATCCTTTATATACTCAGCAAATATGATCTAGATCATTAGAGAAACCTCTGGAGCTGACTTTAAGAGAACATGGGAGGCTGCAATCATCCTCTCCCTTCTGGCAAAAGAAAACTGCTTCTACTGATGAAACATTCAAAGGAAATCTATCACAAGTGTTTATACCTATTCATACTCAAGAGCCCCATTTCTTCTTCTTTTTCACCACCATCAGCACTACTACCACCTGCCTATCCCAGGACGTTGGGAAGGATAAAACATTTGGCTGGCTGTGTGACTAATATAAAAAGTTATTAAATATCAGACATAAGGAAAGGAACATTGTCCACCTAAGCAGCATATACCGTATTTTCCGGCGTATAAGACGACTGGGCGCATAAGACGACCCCCAACTTTTCCTGTTAAAATATAGGGTTTGGGCTATACTCGCCGTATAAGACTACCCTTCTTCCAACGCACACCAAATAAAAATTAAAAAACATCAACTGGCTTACCCACAATGTAAAAACAGCTGTGCTAGACCCAAAATGGCCCCTGCAACAAGCAGGAACCTCACACAGCCACAAAAAGCTCCAAAAAACAACTTTCACACTTTACACACACACAACACAACACAACTGGCTCACCCACAATGTAAAAGCAGCTGTGCTAGACCCAAAATGGCCCCTGCAACAAGCAGGAAGCTCACACAGCCACAAAAAGTCCCAAAAAACAACTTTCACACTTTACACACACAAAATTCCACATACAGCTTTGTGAGATTTTGTGTGTTTGTGTAGTTAGAGTGAAACACTACAGAAACACACTAAATCTCAGAAAGCTGCACAAATATTATTTTATTTTTATATGTAAACTAAATTTAAAACTTCCTAAACTTTAAATGGCTAGGTCTAAAAAAGAACAAATAAAAAAAACCCCAATTAACTATTTTTTTTAAAGCTCCCAAAGGGGAAAAAAACTTACCCAATAGAACAGGGGTCTCCAACTTTAAGACTTGTAGACTTCAACTCCCAGAATTCCTCAGCCAGTTTTGTTTTGCTAGCTGAGGAATTCTGGGAGTTGAAGTCCACAACTCCCTGCCTGCTTGATTGCAGGCAGGGAGTGGTTTGCTGATGGAATGGATTCAGGCAAGCGAAGCAAGGCAAGCGTTGCAACTAGCAGCTAAGTTAAGCAAGCTGGAGGGGGAAAACTTTTTTCCTTTTACATGGCTCTGGCATCCCAGCTGAGTTGCCTGATTAGCAGATCGTCAAAGCTTGGATCGCCAGAGCCATTTAAGGCTCGTCAGAGCCTTTCGGGCTGGTCTGCCTGGTTACAGGAGAACGACACCCGGCGTATAAGACGACACCTGACTTTTGAGAAGATTTTCATGTGTTAAAAAGTCATCTTATACGCGGGAAAATACGGTAAATAAAATTATATCACAACACTGCAGTAATACAATAAATAAAATGCAAATTACAGTCCAATAGTTGTACATTATTTACTATACTGTCCACCTGCAATTGCTTTTGGAGGCATGGGTGTCCAATGAGTTTGCTTTCATCAGCATCATGCCACAGCATTCTTTTGCACGTATATATGTGATATTACAAGGAAAGGAATTGGCACCATGTGATTTTTGTCATTCTGTCTGCCCTCAAGGATATTACTGACTGGGGAGCAGTTGATAAAACAAATGAAATATTAAAATCACTTACTTGCTGTGACAATGCAATAACAAATCAATGATAAATGTTTGCCATGCTTTTTCTTTACTTAATGCATCCAGTGCAGTTGGAATTAAAGCAAAGCAAAGTGTCATTGCTTCAAGTGCTTCACAGCAAACTTGTTCATCTTCTGAATCTGGTTCATTGCCTGCATTTGTCTATAAAATAAATCAGAAATAAGCAGCATAACATATATGATAAATATGAAGGATAATTGATCCTTCAATCTCAAGGAAATTACACAAACTACTTAACATCACAAACTTAATGGTATACTAAAATCAAATCTGAAAATAGAATTAAAGATTTGAAGAGTTTATAAAGCGTACTGTGAAACAATAATCTAACTATGCTGAATTGAAATAGATTTCACAGGAATTCAAATTACACACAAGGGATTGATGATGATGAAAATTGCACAAGGGAGGGAAGTAAATACAACCCTTGGTCATGATTGTCTATTTGTGATTATCTAAATCTAATTTTAGCACTTTGTCAAGAATCAAACATTTTGAGAAGAGGTTTTAATTAATTATCTGGACTTTGTGTTTATTAGATAAATCAGTTTCTCAAAGGTATACCTTTTTTCCAAAACCATTCACGTTCAGAGGAGAAATTGACAACACTCTATCCTTAAGATTTACTACAAAAATTCAAGCTACAGAATTTAGCCTAGATCCACCACAAGCAGTAGCCATACTTCTTTTCTGAAGTTATACAATTATATGATCAAATTATTATTTTAGTTTTACTAAAAAATAATAAACATTTAAGGCTGAATATATTTATTTTCAGATATAGCATAGGGTAAGATGATACAACAACAGATAAATATCTGCTTTTAATTAAAATTATTTTAATTAATATTTTAGAAAAGTAAAATATTTCACAGCATAAAAGAAATCCCACTGGAATACATGAATTTCACTTGAAATATGCATATAAATATAGATTTTATGTGCATCTACAGCAGACATGTCAAACTCAAGGTACGTGGGCCAGATCCGGCCTGCGATGGGTTTAGATCTGGCCCATGGGGTCGCCCTGGAAATGGTGAGAAGCAGCCCCGCTGCCTCAGTCCACCCCACCCTGGCACTCCCCCTGGGTGTGTGCACAGGAGGCGGTGAGCATGTGGGGGCTGGTGGTGCCCAGCAGCAGCTCGTTGGTCCTTCAGCCACTCATTGGGAGGTAGCAATGGCCAGCTGGATGAGCTGGGATGTCCAATAAGCCGCACTTAGCCCCGCCCCAAGTGCACCATACTCGTGCACCATCAATGTTAACCGGGCATCTGGATCCTCCTCCGGGTGTGTCTGCGCCTGGCCTTCTCTCTACTTGCGCTGTGGCATTCCATCGGCCCCACGCCTTAGTGCGTGGGGTGCACCGGTCCTTCTCCATGGGGTGGCTCATGCATCGCTGTGCGCCTGCCTCTCAGAGGGTGCGAGTTTTCTCTAGCATGACGGTGAGAGACCATCCCAGTGAATTGACACCATCCCAGAGAGATCCCAGAGTGAGTAGACCCCAGGCTTCCCACTCCCTGACGTGACCACTGTGAGTGCCACATTCCCCTCTCCGGCTTTGCCACGTGGTGGAGAGGGCAACCTGGAGCCGTCCCCCACCAACACTTGGCTTGTGCCACCCTGCACTCCCATCTCCCCATCCGCGGATTCCACTTTTGTCCCACGGGCCCAGTGGCAATAGTCTTGCAAAGACTACCGCCACTAGTAAGGATTGCTTATATGAAAAAGATAAATGAAGAACATGCCTCTTGGCCTTACAATTACAAGGTAATGACAGAGCACAATCATACCACTGACTCAATCTTTTTTATAAAGTTATACAATGGATATTACATTCCAAATCTAAAAAGTTGGTGGAAATTGCAAATAAAAAAAACCTGAAGGAATATAGTTACACAAATTAGATTTAACATAGGTTTAACAATCAGAAAAGATGTTTGGAGCCTGGAACATGGAAAGTACTACTTCAGACAAGAGATTCAATTAGTAAGCCCCCCTTTAGGCCTCGTGTCCAGGGGACTGCAGGGCTCCTCTGGTGGATAAGGCTTTGGCACTCACTCTGCTCTCTCCTTCCTCTGCTGGAGACCTCCAGATGCCCCTCCCAGCCTTGCCTCTGCCCCCCTTGCCGGTGCTCCTTGACGTGAGCAACAGTAGCAATGTCTACTATTTATAAATAGACCACATGAAGTTCAGTTTATTAGTATGATTCTTCCTATTAAAACCAATTAAAACAGAATGCTGGTTCAGCTTTCTTACCTTTTCATAAATTTTACTAATATCTTCATTTGAGCTGAATACCAGTTGTACTGATCCACATCCAGAAGCCCATACTATTTTTTGCACTGCTCTAATAACACAAATATCAGGAATAAACTTTGAAGCCTGAAAACCAAAACAGACAAATATAATAAGTAATTACCATTTCACACATTATAAGTATGTATTTAAAAGCGAATCCATGCTACAGCAGTCCATAGTCTTGCATCAGACTCACAGAAACACAATTTAGTTACTTAGCTTAATCATCTACCACAGCCACTCCCAGTCTTCAAGCCAGAGAGTTTGGAAGTGCTCAATATTTAATCATACTAACCTCGTCAGATATTTGCTGTGCAAGGCGTATTGCTACATTTCTTAACATGCACTCTGAAGTTGGATTGGGAATGTTCTGCAGAGCAGTTTGCAACACCACCGCCTGATCATGAGTCGCTTGGTTGATCTGCAACAATTTATTTTCAGTATTATTAAATGGATAATAATTCTGTCCAACAGTAAAAGTATATTC